ATGGAACTAATGAAGGGGGAAGGAATAAACAAAGACCACCTGATGAGAAAACAACTCATAAAATAATGATCTGCGGTATTTGGACATTGCAGCTATCAAATATAGAAGAAAACATTTCTGAAGTGCTGACACATGATTCTGTTGATGAGACTCTGCCTCTCTCAAACTCTATTAGGTTAATGAAGAATCACCAGTAACTCAACTTCTTACCCAGTAGAATTTTGCTTGTGGTACACTCTAAGCACCAATAGAAAGAAATCTCTGACTTAAAACTGGGGAAAAAAGACCCAAGTCCCCAGAAACGTGTCATTGGAGTAGTTCTCTTTTCCTTTTACAAATGAAATGAATAAAGGTTCCTCAGAAAACAGATTCTACTCCCCTATTCCAAAGAAAACATCAGATTTTTTTATGCTATCATTTAATCAATCTAAGCCTCGTCTCCTGGTCAGAATGCAGATTGAGAAAAATTTTTATATAATGAAATTGATGATAAAAACAATATCCAGACAAATAACATTTAATTAGAAAAACATATATTTTGTTCCACAAATTTATAATGGTTTAAAATCACCTTTAGAGCTATCATGTAGTATAAGTAGTCCAGGAAACTAAATCATTAATTTATCACTCTGGATTAATTTTAAGAAATTTTTTTTAGTCATTTTATATAGGTTTCTTAATTTTCTGCCGTTTCCTAAAGAGAGAAAATAATTAACCTATCTTGCTTTGATTTTTGTTAATAAAATAGTTATGGTCCTTTTTTTATTCTTTTTACTATTAAAATATGAAACTTTCTTAAATAACAATGTTTAAATTCAGAGTATATGTTATTGTGATATTGTGTATTTTGATTGCTTTTTTTGCTTTGTTTTACAATTCTCTATTGTTTTTCACAGAAACTTCCTCTTAGACACTTAGAACTCATTCAAGTGAGTATTCTATGTTCCAAGAACTCCCTCTAACTATGGAATTTAAGTGATGATGTATTGATAACACATTGACTCTAAACCTATTCCTCTCTTCTCTATAAAACAGTTTCACATTTACTGAGATACAGTATCTCCTTTTGATGTGCTGACAAATTTTGTTTTCACAAACTTTGTCAGAGAAGAGGGAACATGGACTTAACATAAAAATTTATTAGTAATAAAAACCTTAATATTCAAGAGAAATAATTAAACAGAATGTATTAACATGATTTAATTTAATGTATTCTTGCTTCGTTTTCTTCTGCTTGCACTCTAACATGGGATTTATAATTTGATTTCATTTTACACACTGGATCTTGAATTAGACACCTCTACAACACATTTCTGCAAGAGCCATTGATCCTCTACTGTGTCCACTGATTGAACTAATATTTTTTTTATTGATTTTTTTATTCTTTGCAGAATGAACCAGACAGCAGAGAGGTAAAGTTCTTATTCTACACCCCCTTCCAGCCTCCAGCCTTTTTTGTTAGCTATGATGAATGGCGAATGTCTTCTTCACTCCAATTTTATTTCTCTGAGTATCCAAGTACTCAGTTACTTGGATAACTCTCTCAAATCTCTGTTTTGATTAAATCCTTATTCAATTCCTCCTTTAACATTTTACTAAGCATAGACTTACTAAATCTCTAGGCCTGGTTAAAAAAAAAAAAAAAGAAAAGAAAAGAAAAAAAAAGAAACCAAACAGGGTGTCTCTTTAGCTTCAAAAATTAGGTCATAAGACTAAAACTATCTTCTCTTCTACCTAAGAAATGTGCTGGTTTACCTGATTAAAATTGATAACTTGCTGTCAAATGGTCAAACATGCTCCTTTTTGGGTGTGTTCTTCACTTTTTTATTATTCACAATTTAATTCTACAGGAAGTTCTCAAAGAAAGACAGGTTCCCAGGTCTCCTCTGGTGAGTATTATCCTTTTATTCTTCTTAAAAGACAAACATGTTTTTCTGGGAAATTTACTTTAATTTTAGTCTATAAACATTTTTTTCACTTGGCTTGATCAAATCTTCCCTTCAGTCACCCAGTCACCCACAAAGAATATTAAAACCAGATATTCAAATACTAAAAAGCTGTTTTAAATTTAATTTGTGCCTGCACATTTGCCTCTTTGCAAACACTCACGTTTTCCTTTACATAACCTAGTTAGAACACATAATTTCCATACACAATCTGATGGAACATTCTCTATCTCTAAATAATACCCCCTTTATGTATTGTGTTTTCTGTAGTTTCGTGACATGTCAAATAAAACACAAATACAAATTTTACTTCAAGACTGCTATTTTAAAAGTATGATAGGCAACCCAACTTTGACTGATTTTTAACTTTTCTCCCTTCCTTCCTTCCTTTCTCTTTCTCTTTCCTTCTTTACTTCCTCCCTCGCTCCCTACTTCCTTCCTTCCTTCTCTTTCTTTCTTTTTTTTTGTAGCCTACACCAAAAGAGCTGTCCATTTCTTTATTGCTTTTTTATGGAAATAGATATTTCTTATTGAACCAGACAGACAAGATCAAGAGAACTCAGTATTATGATTTAAACAAGATGAAAGATAACAATAAAGTGTAGTGAAACAAATTTTATTATTTTAAGTGCGTATTTATGTACAGCTTAAGCAAAGAAAGATTAGCAAAGAGAAATTAGTGTTAGAAGTGATAAAGTAAGAAATATTAGTGCATTCATAAAAACATTTATATTTTAATTTGCAGCAGCACAATGCAAAATACATTTTTTTACAGATCTTCATTCATTTATGTCTCTGTTCACGAATGTTGTTTCTCTTTCTTTTGTATCCCTCAGGAATACTTCAGTGAACTGAGAAGGGTAAGGAACACCAATGAGATTAAATTATTTTAAAAGTTTGTCCTTTCAAAATTATATCCAAGAATATACAATTAAACTTCATTTTTATCACAAAAATCCATATACACTTTGCATGTTACCCCATTATATATCTGTGTTTATTTGAATAAAAAACATTTTAAATTATTGTGTAAGTTATTGTTCTCTTCCCTCCGTATATTTTAAATAAAACTGACACACACAAAAATACATTATATTGGCCCTGAGTTTTTTCAATTGCTTTTTTTCAAACCTGAAACCAGGAGTTAACAACCTAGGATGAAAGTGTAACTAGTTTCCTTCCAATTGTAAAAGTCTCACGGTCAGTAACACTGGTTTTCTTTTTCTTAGCAAAGGCCATCTAGCAGCAGTTCATCAAGTGAGGTAAATGATTTTTTATGTTAATTCAATATCCAAATTAGTTAGGAAATATTTATGAAAGCTTGTTGCATCATGAAGGTTACATATTTTATAAGGTCTCATTGTACAAGGTGCCATGTGTATCGCTTGATTCTAATTTTAACATCAGCCTGACGGACTTAAGAAAACAACTATTTGTCAGAGACAAAATTACAGAATTGCTTTTGGGCAAACAATCATATCTGGCCATCTGTAGTGTCCAGACATTTCTTTTTCCTATTTATTTTGCCCTTACCAGATTTTGGTAGAACTCAATCTTGTCATTAAAAATTATAATAATGACTATGCTTCTAAATCAAATATGTAAACATGTTATATCCTGTGTAGAAATCAACCAGTTCTAGGTTAATTAATCATAAATTCTTTGCCTCTTGTTTACCTATAGAAAAAAAAAAAATTACAGGCATAGAAGGTGTTGAGGTCCTGCTATTAACTTTGGGATCACAGAATAAAACTAACCCAATTATGTGGAGTTTCTGTGAATTCAGTAAAGGTGAATATTTTGTATCCACCTTCAACATTCTGAATAACCTCCCTAGTGAAAGCAAGAAGAGAAAAGGAATTCTTGACATAACATGTCCCTCAAATTATTCATCCTGTCTCAGTTATGCAGGAATTTGTGGCTAAAATCAATTAACCACAGTTATTTAGTAAGAGTGGCTGGTTAATTAGTATTGATACCTTAATATAAATTAATAAGTCATAAAATTAAAAGTGTGCCTGTTTCTATTTTTTTTGAAGGAAGTTGTTCCCAATAACACTGAGGTAAGATATATTTGTTAAATTTAAAATACACTATTATCCAAGATATGTTACAATTTACTTAATATATTTGTTTGTTTAGCAGAAACAAGTTCCAAGAGAAGACATACTCTCCCAAAGCCATCTGGTAAAATATCGTTAAAAGTTTATCAAAGGCAAATGTACCAAGGAATAAGAATCTTAGATTGATAAATTATTTCTCTTTCTCATTATCTGCTAAAATTTAACCCATAACAAGTAGTCTGATGCACTGCAGATATTGGATGATTCCTCTCTGAAAATATCACTAACAACTTTTTATCTCAGGTATTTAATTCACACTTTCAGTTGAATATTTTTATTGTATAGTCTGCTTTGGATCTGAATATCTTAGTATTTAAATGACTGTCTATAGATTTGGCCAAACTTGAATCTGCCCCTAAGTTTTAGCTTTTCCCAGAATGTGATGTTAGACAGTTTACTTATCTGCTATAAGTCTATAATTTAAATTCTAAAATGACAATAAAAATAAATATTAAATGAGGTGAAAGCAGTTAATACAATCCATAAAATAAAGTAAATGATAAATGTGGTTAATATCAGACACATCATTTTTTCCCCAGTTCATCTAATATTTTTATTTCATTTGACCAAGGCTAAATCTTTAGTCAGAAAGCAAAAATCATTTTTAATTTTCTTAGTAATTCTGACACAAGATACCTAATAAGTAAAATTGCCTGTCACTTATATCTGACTGTACTTTATCTTATTTTAACTTTAAAATAAGTTAAGAAAGTAGTTTTTCTATTGTTTTGAAAGGGAATAATTGATTTAGTCCAAATTATTTGTGTTAGAAATAACACTGAGGTACAATTAATATTTCCTCATTCTTTACTTCTGGGAAAAGCATTGTAGGATTCTAGCTTCATTACTTGAAAATGATAGGGTTGTACTGTATGGTATCCAAGCAACTAAGAATGTTTTTTCTTTTGAATAGGAACAGCTTCGTAGACTGAGCAAACACAACCAACAACAGATGGTAATATTTTATTTATTATAATACAAAATCATATTCTGCAGAATTAAAATACATTAAATTTTAAGTTAGATTCACTTCAAAAGATTTATTCATTTTTCTCAAAAAATTATTCTAGCCTTGGTAGTTAATAATAATTGAAAAACTATTCATATGATTGCCTATATATTTTCTGTCAAAGCCATTTCTTTCAATTTGTGCATAGACTAATGCTGTCTATCGTATCCGTAATTACTAACCAAGAAGAAATTTACTTTGACTAAATTCCATTTCAAATCTTTTTTTTTTTAAGTTTTTATTTATTTATTTGACAGAGAGACACAGCAAACAGCAAGAGAGGGAACACAAGCAGAGGGAGTGGGAGCAGGAGAAGCAGGCTTCCTGCTGGGAAAGGAGCCAGATATGGGGCTCCATCCCAGTGCCCTGGGATCATGACCTGAGCCAAAGGCAGCCGCTTAAGGGCTGAGCCATCCAGGCGCCCCTTTTTCAAATCCTTTTATAGTCTCTCTGACGATGCGTTATATTAGGACTTTATCATGTGTTTATTTTCCCAAGTCCAGCCCTGGTGGGGAACTCCATAAACACTCCTGCTTATGAGAACACAGATGTGCCAATTAAACATTCCATTTAAGGAAACAGTATAGACTCTGTAGGAGGAATCATAAGTCTTAAACCTTCAAATTATTTTTGTCAAAGCTCTTAAAGAAAGGTCAAGTTGAACTTAATTGTCTCTGGACCTGTTTCCTTATGTGTGTGAAATTGAAATATAGTTTTTCTCGCTTCCTGATGTTATTCTGAATATTGAATTAGCAATCTCCTATTTAGCTAACCCTGAGTCTGGCTTGTAGCAAGTCCAATAAAATGTTCATTCCTTCTCCTCCTACCTCAACTTATCAGTCTATAAAATTTGCTGTCCTCACTAACTTCTTGACAGCCTTATGAAGGTCTTTTATCAAGATACACATTTGAACTATAATGACTTAAACTCTTTTTGCTGAGTGTATGAATAGATCAGAAACATATCAATCAGTGCAACTATTTAGTTTTGATCCTTTTAATTATTATAAAGTCACTCACTTGGGAGGGAAAAAAAAAAACCTTCACTTTTAGTTACAGCAAATCAACTTAATTAAGACTTTAAGGAAAAAGTCCTGTCCTAGTGTAGCAAAATTACATTTTTCATTTCCTTCTGTTATCAATGTAGGAAGAGTAAAGCCAATAATGAATTTAATTTGGACCCCAATTGTTACTTTTATATCGGTGTCCAAGTTGCTTGCGTTTAAAATAAAGCCCAAATAAATTTATATATATCAGTACCCCCACTGGAATTCACCATTACTGATCTAAGAAATTACTGGAATGATATATTTTATTATTTTAGTTATGATGTGACTAAACTGTAACCTTCACAACTATTGGTCTTGCCGATAGTATTCATCATATTTCATGGTTGTGTCCTCAGTGCTTAGCATAGTCATTCATGAATGAATGAAAGTACCTACTAAATATTTGTTATTCATAAATGAACAAAATCAATATACTAAATAAAATGTTTTCTCTTCCTTAGGAAGCTATCCAGGCCCAGGTAAGATTATTTATTAAATCTAGAATATTTTAATATTTCCTTCATGTGTTATGTTTTTATAATATGTGCTTCTTTTTTTTTAACAGAAATATATCCCAAGAGAGAAATTGTTCTACTAAACACACCTGATAATATTTAAAAATTTTAAATTTTTAATATTTATTAATAATATAAATTTTTAAATATTTAAAAATTTAAAAGATCAAATTTAAATAGATGATTAATAAATAGCCATGAACAGAAAATATGTAGTCTTAGAAAATTAGTAGGTCATTTTCCCCAGTATTTGAACCTCAAAAATTCTTTGTTTTTCCAAACAATAGTAAGCCTAGCCTTACCTGAACATTTTTTCTAAAGTTGCAAAATAAAAAGGGTCTGATACTTCTTCATGATTCTGGCATAGAGTATAGTTTATCCTAAATATCACAGATGATGTTATATTCTTGGTGCATTGTAAAATGAATGTGCTGTACCAAATGTCTAAGTAATTCAGAATGTACTTTATTTCCTTTTATACAGCAACAACTTCTCAGAATGACTCAAAACAACCTCCTCCAATTGGTAATATTTTGCTTAATAAATTACACAGTAATAATACAATACTGTCAAGTTTAAATATATTTGTTTTTAAATAACCTCACACTTTAGAAGTGATTGTTTTCTTCCCCAGCAGTTATTTCTCACTCCCAACTTCCGTGATAATTTATATTAATTGGTATGAGAGATTAGAACTACTTGTTTTTATTCTTTGGAAGGGAAGTTGTGCCAGTCTGTGTCTCAGCTGATGGGAACATTGTATTTAGAGCTATAAGCACTATGAAGTGTTAATCTCCATGGTTACATTAATTTCTCTTTTAACGTATTTCTTAATTTTATATTTTTATGCCCATGATCTGTTTCTAAAATTCAGCTTATATTTAGGAATCTCAAACTATCAAGCTGGTTGACATACTTTTCTTCTGAAGAAACCATCTGGAGAGAGATTGAATGTCTCTGCCCAAATACACTCTGATCTTGTTTTCTCACCTGTGAAATGAGATTGTCAGTAATATGTAACAGATGCCAGTTTCTCCCCTGCCCTAAATTCCATTGATTTCTCGGTGTTCCTAGGGATTCTGATCTCATTCTTTTTTTTTTTTTTTAAAGATTTTATTTATTTATTTGAGAGAGAGACAGTGGGAGAGAGCATGAGCAAGGAGAAGGTCAGAGGGAGAAGCAGACTCCCCATGGAGCTGGGAGCCCGATGCAGGACTCGATCCCGGGACTCTGGGATCATGACCTGAGCTGAAGGCAGTCGTCCAACCAACTGAGCCACCCAGGCATCCCTCTGATCTCATTCTTAAGGCAATAAGCAAGTATCAGGAACTATGTGCCGCCATAACAGTTCAACCCTTTTGAACTGGTCAATTCCATACCAGCCATGGAGCCCTCCAACCACTACTTGCCATTTAGTGAATCTTATAAAGATTGTTGAGGATGTTCCATATGTCCCAAAAGAAATTGACTCTAGGTAGTATGGTTGGCAAAATCAGTGTCATGGCCCAAATCTCTAACACAAAAAGTATTTCAAATAGGTTACTTCTTCCAACTTTGAAGCTTTATCAGCCTTCGAAAGTAATTCTGGTTCTTGTTCTTTCCAGAGATCTCACAGAGTAATCATTCTTTTTTTGCTAATAGCTATGTCAGAAATGAAATGATTCATTTTCAGAGATCCAGAACAGCAATTGTTTATACATTGTTGTTTTTCAATGACTCGTCTTTCCTTCTAGCCTTTCCAACAATTCTACCAACTTGATGCTTTTCCTTTTGCCGCTTGGTATTCTCTTCCACAAATCATGCAGTATGTGGCTTTTCCACCATCCTTCATCGGTATCACTAAACCCACTGCCTCTGAGAGTACTGAAAACGTTGATGTTGTGCCAGAGTGGTGGTAAGTTCATTTAAATTACTGCATATTAGTGTTCTACTGAAAGACATAAAAGAAAATCGTTTACAGAACATGCCATAGAAACAGATGTAGAATCAACATGACAAATCAGTGTTTAGTCCCTCATAAACTGAAATGGAAAATTGATATCTTCTGTGGTATCTATGGCTAATGTTAAACCAATGAATCATGTGGAGCCGTGCTATCTATTCTATAAGTGAAATTCATTCTTTAGGATGGTAAGAAAAGAAAGCTTTTTCTCCAAATTAAAAATAAAAAGAACGCTGATATAAAACTTAATTTTATTCTCCTTCCACTTTTATTAATCTTTGAATGCCTTTCTTTTGGTTATACCCATGATATGCATAAAAATAGAGCATAGATTTTGCTTTCCAATAGTCCTAAATTCAAATCCTGACATTTTTGCTTACTTAAAATAATGTAATAATACTTAGTTTTCATAATTCTGAAGATGATTAAATATAATCATCTTTGCAAAGTGTAGCGATTGGAAAATAAACACAGAAAATAAGTAGCAGTCATTTTTTTTACCTAATAAAATTTTATTGCTGACTACCTTGATCACATAATTTTAATGATTTTTGTTCTTTCAGAAAAATTAATAAATTCTCAGGAACTTCGCAATTATGGCTATGGGTAAGTGTGGAAATTAACTAACAACTAATCTCATTTCCATTTGAAGACAAAGTACAAAGATATGATTGTAGGCTATAATTTTTTTTTCTTTTTGCTGAAGTCTAGCTACCCTGAACACATTACCACTTAAATAATTACACTGCTTAGAAAGTTGTGAATTTTTTGTCCTACTCATACTATATTTAAACATCAACATAAATTACCTAATTTTAACTAATATAATTTATCATAATGAAACTCCTATACAAGTATAGGAGTATGGTTTTTACTAATTTTCCATGAAAATGGTGAACCCAACAGTTGTATCCTGTTCTTTGTGGTCACTGCAGTAGAAATTCTTAACAAGTCATATAGTGAAACCAAATGATTATCTCTCATCAGGCAAACAGAGTGAAATGTCAACAAATTTTTTTAAATTGCCTTCATCCATTATATTGGAGCTTTTAGTTTTATGTGCATATGTGTTTCCCTTCACAATGGCAGAAACTTCCTTTCAACATATCAAACTAAAGAAAATGATAAAACTCTGACCCATGTGAAAGCTTTTTCTTCTAATTGCCTTGTTGTATTTTTTGTATTACTGCAAAGGAAAATTCTATCTGGTAATAAATTATTTTCAAAATTTAAAAATCAGGAAAAATGTTTACATTTGTTAGCAACAGGAAAGCACAAATAACATTGTGAACTTTATCTTAAAATGAAGAGAAAATGACAATTAAAATTTGCATATCATAAAAGTGTCTTTTCAACTAACATGTAGTATAGCTAACCATATATTTCTTTTTCTATTTACAGATGTGACTGAAAATCCTATTCTCTAAATTTCTCCCATCTACCATGTAAAACCATCCTGTCCAAAGGCTTTGACTGTTATGTTAGAATAGGACAATCCCAAATTGAGGGCAATCTTTCTTTTTCAGTTCTCTACTGTGTATTAGATAGAATTATCATTATTTTCCTTAATCTAAATTTTCCTAACAGTTTGTTGTCTAAATTCCAGCTGTATCATGCCAGTTTGAAGGCTACTGAATCAGAGGGTATTGAAGTCTTTACTAAGTTTCTAGTACAGAAATTGTGTGTAAAAAGCCTTTGAATCACTTTTTTTGTAAGTGTCATCATTCCATATAATTGTGTGCAGTGACTGAGATTTTTTCCTTTTCTTTCCAATAAATTACAATTTTAAAGCACAGTCCATATTTTCTGTCATTATTCCATTCACCAGTATTTACACAATCCTTTTAAGAGTACATATAGAACATTTTGTTTTCACTAAATTTTTTATGATACTTTCAATTACATTTTAATGAAAAAAATTAAAATGTCACTTCTGATTTGGCAAATTATAAACATGGATAAAGATCGTTCATTCGAAGTCCGTTGTTTACAGAATATTTCCCATGAGAACATAGGTGTGGCTGCAGAAAGGACAGCAATGTGGCACTTGTGGGTACACTGGGAATTTGAATAGCCCAGGTTGTACAATTTATTTTTGCCAACAGGACCTATTTGGGCCCAACCTACCTAATCACAGCTGAATTTATATGTAGGTAGAATGGGTCATAAGCATTTAAAGAGTCACCTCAGCACACACAGTTGCCTAGTAGCTCAGGTGGGCTGAATAGCATCCTCCAGAGCCCAAGGAAGAGCTCTTTCTCAAGACAACAATCCTCACTTGTTCTGATATCCTAAAAGCCCCAGGTGAGATGTACTTTTGAGGGTATATTCCAGATTCCCAACCAATCCAACATGCTATGACCCTTTAAGAACTATTGTATTTACCAGGCAATAACATACATGTGAGAAGGCCTCCTGTAGCATGGCCTAAGCCATCAATGGCTCTGCATCTTACCTAAAATATATATTATATATGCATAACACCCAAACATGAATTTTTTACCTTGAAAATGAAAAGAAAGCCATTTAGCATTGGGTCTTCCACCTTCTCTCAGTGTTAAGAAGTACATGGTGAAACAACTTGGTTTTTTTGTCTAGAGAAGGTTTATCACATACTCAGACTACTGGACCAGCAAGAAATTAATGGGGAGTGTAGACCCCCGTGTCTTCGTAAAATTTATCTACCAGCTTCTGTCATCATATCACTTCCTGAGCCCTCAAGGATACTTTATATTTCTTGTGTCATGAATCCTATAGAAATAAGGTCATTAAGGGGCACCTGGGTGGCTTAGTTGGTGGAGAGTCTGACTCTTGGTTTCCACTCAGATCTCATGGGTTGTAAGATTGAGTCCCATGTCAGACTCTGCATTCAGTGGGGAGTCTGCTTGAAGATTTTTCCCTCTACCCCTCCTCCCCACTCTTGCTCTCTCTCTTTCCTCTTTCAGATAAATAAATAAATCCTTTTTTTTATATAAATAAAGCCATCAGTTTAATGAATGCACAATGAGCCATGAAATAAGATAGTCATGTTTCCTGCAGGCTAAACTACAGTGCAAACCTAAAGTAGACTTGCCCTTAAAACTGTCTCACGAGGTGTAAGCCTCTGAAAGATGAAAGCAATCTGTTTCTGGTATTTTCTTCTTTTTCTTTAGTTTGAAAGGCAGGATGGAGAAAAAAAATGTGAGTATCAGAGATTTATGTGACACCATATTTAAAAATACCACCTGTAAATTGGGTGGGTAGGATGGGCAAAATGGGTGGAAGGGAATGGGAGATACAGGCTTCCAGTTATGGAATGAATAAATCAAGAGGACAAAGGTGCAGCATAGAGAATACAGTCAGCGGTATTGTGATAGTGTTGTATGGTGACAGGTGGTAGCTATACTTGCGGTGAGGATAGCATAATGTATAAAGTTGTCCAATCACTATGTTGTGCACCTGAAACTAATGTAACATTAGTTACATTAATAATAAAAATTTAAAAATGAGTTGTCACTTCATTAAATTTGTAATAATCCACTGTTACTTTCCAAGAAGGTATTGAAAAGGCCAAATGGGGCGATGCCTGGGTGGCTGAATCCATTAAGTGTCTGCCTTTGGCTCAGGTCATGATCCCAGGGTCCTGGGATGGAGTTCTGCATCAGGCTCCTTGCTCAGCAGGGAGTCTCCTTCTTCCTTTGCCTGCTGCTCCCTCTGCTTGTGTTCTCTCTCTCTCTCTCTCTCTGTCTGTCTCTGGCAAATAAATAAATAAAATATTTCCAAGAAAGGCCAAATGGGGAAAGGAATAATGATACAATTCACTTTCTTTACATCTTTGAGTCTTTCACAGTTGCTGCAATTTCCCCAGAGATGCAAAACTATTATTTTATTATGGAAAGAGACATAAGAATGGTTTATGTTCAGTAATTTTTTTTACCTTTTACTCCATACATCAGGGAGGTAATATAGGGATTAGACCAGTTTCTAAGTATATCAATTCCCACTCTGAGCAGAAGACTTACTGTTAATGATTTAGACTAGGCTCAGAAGGAGGCAAACTGTGGGGACAACATCAATTATTACTTGAAATCCCAATATGAACCACAAATCATCAGAACATTCTCCAAAGAATGAGTGGTAAAATAGATAATGTATCCCAGAGTCTGTCAGAAGATCGGTTACTTTGTTTCTTTATGTAAATGCTCCAAAACTCATAGGTCGAAGACAAGGATTAGGATTGGAATTATGACATTATAGAAAGATGCCTCCTACAGAATGTTGATTTTTCTACATTTAAAGGTTATAGATCCATAAATTAATTCTTATTCAGCAATTGGGGTGGATCATCGATATCTGTTGGTAGCTTGAGCCTGAAGTCTTTTTATTAGACAGATTCTGTTCACCAAAAATTTTTATAGTTATATATATAAAATAACCCTGATGAAATTGCCATAAAATTTTTCCTAGGGTTATAATGATTAGCTTCCAAAGATGTCACCTCTGTTTTGACCATTTGTCATACAATAATTACCACCACCACCCCTCCTCCACTAAATCTTCAAAACTTTTAATTTTATACCTGACTTCAGGAGTTTATTTGCTATCACTTTGGTAACTGGGCTTATTCATCATTCCTGGGGTCAGAAATACAATGTAATTACTATGTGCCTCCTAATATAGTTTTCAGTCAAATATAGTTAGGGAAAAAGACTTTTACAAAAATCCATTTTTTATGGAAATGGTTAAGTCATCTATGCTTCCCCATAGACATGGGGAATTAGTGGGTCATTAAAATTAAGCATATCTATCTAAAGATAGTTTTTAAATGTTTCCTTTTTTATTATGGTTACAAACCTTCTAGAACCCAGCAGATAACATGAATGAGTCGGAAAATTATGGGGGGGGGGTGATGA